GATTTAGTTGGATTGAGATAGTATTTTATTTTTTGATTTCTTGAGATTTAAAATATTTTTTAATTTTTATACATTACTTTATAATTCTTAATTTTTTTCTTGATTTTATTTTTAAACCTAAACGTAAGATTATGTTTACAAATTTCTGAATCGTTTTGTTTTATAAGACTTTATTCAGTTTTCAAAGATAGTTTTCAAATCCAAAGGTATTAACGTAAAACGAGTTAATCCATTTTAATATAAAAATTACGAATCATCGAGTAATTATGTTTTGTATTGGATTCATTAAATGAAACCGTAAGATGGCGCATAGCTTTTTAACCGAAAACAAGATTGTACGGGGACTGTAACTTTCCATTAATTATTATTGATCGTGTTAAAAGAAGCGCCAATGAGACTTCTTGTTAATATTTCTCGGTGTTTTTCCGAATCTATTGTAAATAATTTACAGATTTAATGCAACTTTCTAATTATAACCTCTTATTTATAGAGCCTGATTGCTTCGTAATTGATTTAAGCGATCCGATTACTAGGTCAAACACGATATCTTGTAACAAAGAAATTAGTTGGTAAAAAATTCGAATTAAATTGTAACTTCTATAAACGTCTTTGTAATTATATATTTTTTTGTTTTGTTCAATTGAAATTTATCGAGTAGTATTTATTTAAATTTAATTATGTGTATATATACGACAAATACATAAGTACCCAATTTATCAAAAATATGTGTTTTAAAGAATGTACAGAGCTTGTTCTCCTTTTTTTTCTATTAGTGTCATCGAGATGAAATTGGATTGTGTTGATGTAACAAATTTATTCTTTAATGTAAATGCAATATTTTTCGTCTATCTGTGTTAATTTATTTTGGAAAACAATATTAAATATGAATGCAATGCAATAATTACCAAAACAACTAATTTTGGGTTTTATTAAAAATTTCTTTACGTTTCAATGCAATTGATATACTTTTTCATTACTTTTTGGTCATATGAAAATATTTCTTGTATATGTTAACTAATTAAACCCATATTAGATTTTTCATCTAACCAATCTTTTTATACAAGTCTAGGGCAATGAATTTGTAACACAAATTGTCTTAATATACATACATCTCTTTCAACAACTTCGTAAATTTTTATTTTCAATTTTTAGTATTATATTACACATACATAAACCGTATATACAATGCAGGTGAATGCTCAGTACAGAACAGCTGTCGTTGCAGGGAGTTGTAATAAAATGTCCCAGTTTTATGAGCCTAAAATTTCATTTTTATTACTTCAAACTTTGTCTCATCCATTCTTGCGACACGAGTTTAATAGATAAATTCTAAGGCCATGTAAAAGTTTTGCACAGATTTTTCAAATAAAATTTTTTAATATAAATTTCTAAGGATATTAAAAGTTAAGATCCTTATTAAAATGCGGCCATGATATTTTTAATTTGATTAAAATCCTTTGATAAATAATGTAATGTTAAAAGACATACGTCTTTAATTTATACCGTTGTACCAAAAAAAAAAATAGTTTAGTGTAAAAAGAAAAAGATTCTTGTAGTTTTACTTATATTCAAATAATATCTCCAAACGTTTCCAGATATTCGTTTAAATTTAAAAGCCATTAGCTTATTTCTCTGGTACAGATTGTGTTCTCATCTATCATAACGACCTAAATACGTTGATCGAAATTCTATCCAGCGTAGTTAATTCATATGAACCAAACAGGAGTCATTAATAATAATAATTGTATTATATGCAATTTTTTTTGTGACTTAACCAATATATTTTTATCTATAGTAATTAACGTAAGATATTTTGTGAATAATTAATTTATATAGTGAATTAATTCAAAAAAACAACAAACGTTAGTTACCAACTACTATTAATACGAATAATATTAGCGCTCTAAAGAATGGTTATTAATTAAACAAAGCAGTGTCGTAACAATGAATGTAATATGAAATGTAATAACTGACCTCTACTGAATATCAATAAAGCCTAGTCATTATTAACACCTGCTTGAGGTTAATAAGAAATGTAAAACATACGATGACAAGTTCATAATTAATTGCGACATACCTATATGTTTGTAATCTTTACCAACTTCCTGCTTCTTACACGTTTGTTTGAAGATAACACAGCTTAGCTCATAGTTGAAATGCATTAATGATTATTTATTCATTGTAACCTGACTATATTCTGAAATTTATCTCATCTGTAACTAACATTTGCAAGTGTAATTCTGACTTAATGATAGCGGTTGGAATGCCAAGATTATTAGGATCGGGTTTCTCACTAATGGAGCGTCATAAGATAAAAAGTGTTTTCATATAGATTACGCACTGTTTATTAATTATAATTAAAAACTTTTATTTCTATGTATTGAAATATATTATAAACACTAATAAAGTTAATGTCTAGATAATGCGTTATGATGAAATTGACTCATTTCTATTCCTATAAATCTGTGATTATTGTAAAATAAATAAATTTGATTAAATAGTTCGTCTAAAGTTCTGGTGTAAATTGGTAAAAAAGGGTAATTTTTGTGACTAAGGTCTGTTATTGCTCGTGCTCTGTGGCTTGTAGCCACTTAGACCACAACCTTCGATGTTTCCGCGTGATTGAAGATCATATTGCCAATATCTGATTCTGAAGCCGGCTTTGACTGTTGATGGTTATTGGTTGTATTATCATATCCATTTTGATTTATTATTGTACTTTCATGACCATTCAAATATCATATAAATTTACTTTAAAGCGAACCTTAAAGTTTCTAAATTTATGTTATAAGTTTCAATATATGGTCGAACAGTAACTAAGTTAATATAACCTGGTGAACAAATATTAAATATTTCCTTAAGATTATATAATATTCTGTACGCTCAATGAGGTCGTTTAACAATAGCATCGGTCATCATATATCTTGAGACAGCACGATCGAAACTTTTGCAGCAGTCAATGAACTCGTGTAGAACAATTGCCATGTAAAGTGTGAACTTACAATTTCCTCTTCCTCTGTGTATCTTATATTTATATTATAGATTTATTTTTTTAACAGCCTTTTTATTTTTGCAGGTACTATTACGAAGACAAGAAACCGCCGTTCCCTTGAATCATCTCTTCCTAAAGTCGAAACTCCGCTGCAGTCTTCCAAGGTCTCTCCAAAAGTTAATGCTTCCATACAATTTGGCTTTAAATCAAATTTGACTAAACCTAATACAGTCAAAAATACTGATAAACGAAGAAGTTCTGAAAGTAGTACTAAACCCAGTTGTATACCGTTATCCAAAAAGACCCCTGATAAAGCAAAACGTAATTCAAACTCACCTTCCAAATCGGAATCTCCGAAAGAGACATCGAAGAGTGATAATACAAGAATTAAACTGGAATCCTCTAGGGGAAGAAGTTTACGCAAAAGCCCTGATAAATCGAAGATAGCTCTTCCTCAAGAAAATTTACGTAGCGATAAGAAACATCGAGCTCAAAAAGATAATGAAAGTCTTAACGAAAAATATCATAATTTTAAGAAAAGACTGACTAGTTTAGATAATTCTTCAAATGACGGTGCTGATACTAAAAATACAACTAGCAAAATTAATGTTAACGAGAATTTGGTAACAAATCCTGACGTGGACCATAAACTTAATGAGATTATTAATTCGACGACGACAAATATGACTACCCTCCATGAACCAATTAGACCGCAACCAAGCAGTCGACTTTCTCAAGAAATGGATAGCTTAGCTGCTTTGACCAAACAAACTTTAGATAGGGTAAACAAATTAACAAATAACTTAAGTAATAGTAAATTACCTGTTTTAGATAGTACGGAAGATAAAAAACACAATCATACTTACAACTATGGTCTCATTAACGACGAACCCCAGACAAATAGGGGAGTGGCTGAGAGATTAAGAGATATAGATACAGCAGCTCAGAGATTGATTGATTTCGAAAAACAAAGTGCTGTGTTTTCTGATCTCAACAACGATTGCTCTAGTCAAAACCGTCGTCTTGATAACTCCTCGTTGTCTCAACACACGCCAGTGTCTATTTTGAAAAGAAAATCTATCCACGAGGAATGTAACATCACCAATCCCACAAGCCAAGCCATTGCTTCCCCGCCTGTTACTTTTTCTCCCAGTGTTGTTGAACCACGAAATTGTCGTTCGGAGAATAGGCAGCGTCAAGGAATACTAAAGAAACGACGTAGCTTAGATGAATCTCAAGTTGCTAGACGAAGGTCCTGTAGTCCGGAAGTATCATTTGCTGATGACGGATCACCTGATACATGCAAACCAATTTTAAAAAATCGGAGATCATCCTTGGAAGACGTAGTTCGGAATCGTTCTCCAGACGGACAAATACAAGGGATATTGAAAAGGAAAATGAGCAAGGAAGAGGAACATTTAACTGATGATGTATCACATGGTTCACCTGAGCCTCATGGTATTTTAAAACGGAAATCTAATTCAAGTTCAAGTAGCAGTACAACGTCATCTCACGTGTCTATCGCGCAAGCAGTGCTATTAGCTGCTGCCGGTGGTGCTGAATTGGTTGATGAGGATAAAGATACGGTACGACCTATACTTAAAAAGAAAAGTTTCTCTGAAGAACGCCCCTCCCCGGATATACTTCCTTCAGACACCCCAAAACCTATTTTGAAAAAAAAATTGACTGAGCACGATGATCATGACTTCGAACGTCCGAAGAAACCAATTCTTAAATCATCAAAAAAATTATCAGGTGATGAGGGACATACTTCTAGTTTCGATTTGAGCGAAGACGACAGAAGTTCCCGTAGGCCTTCACTACTTAGGTCTCGGACGTCTGATCACTCGGGTTCAGAGTGCGAAACGGCCGTTAAGCCAATTTTAAAGCAGAGATGCTCTAGTCTCACTAGGGAACGCAGCCAATCTCCCCCGCCCCACGTTTGTCATTCTGTGCAGACAACGATGTGAATATTAGTGCTTCAAATTTTAGTAGCGATGTGAACGACTTGTTAGCGGCTGGACCGCGGCGAATTGTGAATATCGGTACTGACCCTGAAGAAAGTTATCCTAGTGCAGTTATACGGCGAAGAAATCAGAGACCTAAAACGAATCTTCGTTCTATTAGCTTGGTTTGTGACGTCAATGATGAATTACTTTCTATTTTAAATAATCGTCGCCTGAAAGTGGAAGAGCAGTGTAACAACGGACAAAATAATATATTAGGAAGGGAGAAAATAAATGTAAGCAACGATCCTAAAACTTTTCCGTCGATCGCTTCGAGAATAAAGACGATGGAAGAGGCACTTACTAAGGATAATATACCACAAGAACAAGCTTCAACGAAACAAAGAAATCGAGACAAGGAACGTTTCAAAACGCAACCTATTACAATCGATGAAATGAGATCTGTCGCATCCAGGTATGTTGTATTTTCATTTAAATAATGCATGTATAATTTTATATATACAGTCTGTAAGTTGAAAAGAAAGCATATAATCAATTTCATGCATTTTAAAAATTGGCAATGGTTGCGAACAAATTATTTTTAATCATTTCTAGTTTCAATATTTCCGCGTCTTTAAATATTGGTTTTCATGATTGTGCTTGTCGTTGTGTCGATAGTAATTGAAACTGGAGCAAATTTTGGCCTGTTGCCATTATTTTGATGACCAAACGCGTGGTGCGGGCGCGTATCAAATGTTTTGATGTTTTCGGTACACTTTATTGTTGGTTTGTGTTTTTATGAATTACAAACAACATACGAAGCTCCACTATTTATATTACCGTAGAGAAATCGAATTTCTGTAAGCTTTTATTAGATAAAATGCAGCGTTTTATTATACCAGATGTAAGAGGGATTTTATTTTATCCTTAGTTGTTGTTTATATAAAGTAATTATATTATTGTATAAACACAAACCATTACCATTTTTTTCACCTCCCATATAATTCACAAATGCACTTTGAATAAAAAATAATATTTCGAGGACGTAGTTTCTTATCTTACAAATGTTTGGTAGTATCGATAAACAATGTGTGCTAATTTTATGTACCTTACTGACATCATCCTGCATCAGTTTTTTCTTTGAATCATTCGCAGTCGCGATAGCGTAAGATTTAAAACTAGACAAAATCTAACATTGCAGTTATATTTAGTTAAAAAATAATAATATAAAATGTATCGTTTTCTTAAAGAATGGCCTACATTTTATTGGTAAGTAATCAGTATATATTATATTGCATTTGGTCCATTGTAAACCTTTTCATAAAATTTTCTTTATGACCTTAAACAGGAAATAAGATAAGCCTTTATATGCTCGTAAAATATTTAATCAGCCGGCTTTTATTCACACATAATTTATCAGATATAAATGTATAGTTATGTACACCATCTTAAACGGGCGATCTATCTTCTTATCGTATTTTTATTGTTGTCTCATGCATTTAATTGGTCTCAGCTAATTTAAGACTATGTTCTATTTTGTTTTATATGTCTGCAATTGCATTTATCTCGTCAGTGATTAACTTCGGTCCTAATAGTTACTGGTACTGTAAATGCTTGGTCGAGACGGCAAGTTGATGACGGAAATAAGCGCTCCAGTCGTTACTGGGTCAACACTATTTCTAGCTCTGTTGTGCTTCACAGCACGCATCCAGAGTTTTATGACCACAACATCTGAAGCGGAACGTTCTAGCTACCCTTAATGCAGTCTTTGTAATGCAATGTTTTCGCTGACGGCTTATTTTAGATCCAGTTCGTGTGTTGTTATATTCATAGAATATTAAATTATTTATCTATTAGCAATGTCTCAATTAAAGACGGTTATTTATCGATAACGTCTTGTATCCGCCCCGTTTTTCAATAATATATCTATAGCCTATGTTTTATCCCAGTCGTATTTAGGTAAAGAAATCTGCATGCTTTGAATGGTTTATTGATATTTTTTATAGAAACAATATTTTATTCAACGTTTCAATAACTCGCTCTATATTTAGAAGTCATAACCAACGGTGTCAATCTCCCTTATCCATGAACAAGGCTGTTCGTCCAGATCACTCAAGCTATAACTCATCGTAATGTACTAGGACGTACTAAAACACCCACCATCTCTTTCTTACCAACGAATATGTTTCACATTATCGCATTTCTTTTCTCATTTCGCAGTTTGGAGCCGGGCCAAGCGAATTTCCAAGCGTTCGGCATTGCGGGCTGTAGTTTTCCGACCCATTCCGTCGGGACTGGTGCGTCTGTCTCCTCCAGGGGTCTCTTTTCAGAGGAGCCCGAAAGAGATCCTTACGCAGAACTTGAATCAACTTCTTACGATTCTAGTCCATCTAACGCTAAGTTACCGCTCACAGAGGATTACGGTGAAGCAACTTTCTTAGATTTGGAGAAGTTCAGTGCTAATGGTGAAACAAAACACTCTACTCTAGACGAAATAGAGCAAGAGGTAAACAAAGTGCGTGTAGCTCTGGATGAGGATTGTCGCGCCTTGGATGAAGACGAAAGCAATCAAGCCGAGGCTGACAATTGGAGTTTAAACGTCTCTTGTGATAGCGGCGTCTACAATCGTGCGTCTTCCCGCGACTCCGGGCCGCATTCTGGTGAGTATTATATCGAGCTTTCTGTTAAACAGGATTAGTGGCATTATCAGTCAGTTTCAATAGTCATTAAATTTATTTTTAACGAGCTAATTGTTTCACGCGTTCGTCATGAGCAAGTTATGACTCGTTAATGTTCGTACAAATCAAATATATTTCTTCGTCATGGATGAAACATATGTAAGAATCGGTACAGTGTGCCTGCATATAACTGGATGTTTGTTTATGTTATTTAATATAATTAGATTGCAGAGCAACATACGTACTGAGCGATTTTTAAAATAAAGTTATGTTCAACCTTGTCAAAGTGTTTCTGTCCTTATATTTAGGTCAATGTGATATGTATAATATTCACTTTTAAAATTTATTCAAAAAAATGTGAACAGTTTTTCTTTTAATTGAAATGTTTTTCTTGAGTCACATATGACGGTCGTTATTATTTATTTTAGTACTTCAGTTATACTTATCGTTAAATTTCGTGCACGCCATAGCGTATTTAGTGTATGTCTATTTTTGTTCAAGCTCGCGACTAATAACGAATTATCGATTTTCAGGCGAGGAGTTGGGCTTGATTGAGAGTCAAGAAATTAGTGAAAACCACGCCACTAACAGCACCAACGACTGGTCTTCGACATCTATGGAAGAAGGTCTATTCAAGATGGAACGCATACGAAAATCAACTGAAAACGAAGCGCTTCAAACTCCTGATGATAATGGGAGCGATGACGAAAACAATGATCATTCTCATTTCGCACTCGGCTTAGTGAAAAGCAACAGTGTCGTTGCTCGAGCAAGCATGTGGCAACAGTTACAACAGCAAGCTAAAGGTCAGTTTTGTAATTTTTTTCTGAAGCAATACAAATATAAAAACTGTTTAGTATCAATCACAAGAAACTTAACAGTTTATATTAATGAGTATTTTTTCTCAATTCCAGGTACACCAAAGCCGCTTCTTCGTCACAGTCGCTCCAAAGTGAAGGAGGGTCCATCGATGACGGAGAGCTTTAAACCACAGGAAATTAACACCGTTCCGCAAGAAACCCCACTTGCCCCATCTAAAAGCACAGCAAATGTCTTAGATAGAGATGAAGATGGTAAGATTTCCATATATACTATAGCATCAACCATAGAAAAATCGGTAAAAGTAATCGTTATCAAAATGTTCGTTAATATTATTTTGTGGTCACGTACGTGTAAATGGCATGTACATTGCATTACTTAAGGATCGCTTTCATTTGATTGTACCTACGCTTTTGTTACATTTTTTTGCATGTCATCGTGTATGTCCTATCACTGCACAATGTAATTTACGCACTATCACGGTGGCAGCTAAGTTAGATGAGGATGATCCGGCTAAGATGTCGCTGGCTGAGAAAATGAAAATGTTCAACACCAAACTGACGCATAAGCCGCCGGTAGCGGGGCTGAGACCGAAGGAAGATAGAGTACCGAGGGCATCGAGACTCAGAACTATGCCGGTACTAGCGAGTCAAGTGCAAGAAGCTATGGAACAAAACGAAAGACTCACGAAATCTCTAACACACGAAGATGTCCCAAGGAACAATGACTTCCAACTGAAAATGGAACTTTTCCGATCGGCGAGTGCAAAAAACACGTCATTAGAGTATCTCATGAGGCAGAACTCGAAGTTTAGAAGCTTAGGTCTGATTTTGTTCTATTTTGTTTGGTTTTTTTTTCTCATTTCCGCTTGACGTCTCGCTTTATTTATGGGTTAAGCACTAATTTAATATAAGTAGTAGTAAGTTGACGTTTTACAAGCTCGTTGATTACAGCACTGGATTTTATACTAACATTTTAACAGGTAAGCATGAGTTATATTTAGATATTAAACATTATTATGAGTTACAAGGAATTTGTTTATGACGCATGTACTAACGTCCACGAATGAGTTAACATAACAATATTAATTTTTATACATTAAAAAGGTATGTCTTTAGATAAAGCTTAATTCTATTGACTTTTATAAAATATATATTTGAAAAGTAAGCATTAATAATGTAGTGATGAACATGGAATGTGTTAAGATCTTTATAAACGTTCATATGGTAGTTTAGATCATATAAATTATAATAATAATATGCTCATTTTTACCCTTAAATATTAATAAAAATAGGTTGCATATAAAATGTACAACACTGGAATCTTATCCCTAATAACAATACGATGTCTTTACAATGATAATAGAATTGTAATTTGGGTTTCGCCAAAACAAGTGTTAGTTTTGGCATCGGGTCAAACTAATAATGGATTGTTATTTATAGTTAAAGAAATGTTTTATTTACATTTTAATATATTAATATGCTGAAGGTCTTAATTTCCATTTAATATCGCCCTACTTTGGAGAATAATGTTAATGTCGAATAAGTTATACCGAAGTAGCTCACTGAAACCGTATGATAAAAATGTATAGTTGTGTGTATTTCGCTTGATTAATACAGTAAAAACCTTGGCAGAATAATTTTGATATTGTGTTGTTTGGATAACAAGAATATTAGTTTTTTTACGCGTTTTTTTGCTTTGAATACTCCTTAAATATATGTATGAAATTTATAATATTTTAATTCATCAGACCTCGATGACGACTCGCCATTGGAGCGAGCTCAAAGAATGATAACACCAGAAGTAAGAGGTATACTGAAGTCGGGATCCACGGTTGTACCTTCGAAGCCGAAAATTTTGGCGAAAGGAGAAAGTTCTGAGGTGTGTATGAATTTTATATTTATTTTAATGATCATTCTCGCTCATAAAATAATCTTAAACTTGTTATTAACGATATTTTTAAAATTTTCAGGGTCTGAAGGACGAAGGAATAGACAGTTCCTCGGACGAAGAATCCGCATCAGCATCCAGTGTTTCATCTTCAGAGAAAAGCTGTTCATCATCAGGCAGTTCAGACGAGATGCCAGGACCGAAAAGAAGGTTCCAACGGAAGAACAACAAGCTGAAGTCATCACGAACTGATTCAGACCTCACGAAACTCCAAGACCCATATCCTCGCAAAATCCAACTGCCGTGCGCCAGTGAACTAAAAGAACGTATAGCGCAAGCCAAAAATCCAGATGTAAAAATACCATTGCTAGGAAAACTCGGCAAGAAACCATCAGAAGACGCGAACGTAGAAGATGATAAGATGAGATACAGAAGATTCGTTAAGAAACTCGATGAGCCTCTACAACTGGGCAAGCTTAGGCGGCCGATGGAAAAGACGTCGTCACTGGAAGAAAAACCGCCCGTGTTGAAGATAACGGCGTTAAATCAAGCTGCAAAAAACAAATTCTTTGGCGTCGAAGACAAGAAAGAAAAGAGTCTCGATGAATTGACGGCTGTGGTCAGGAAATATATCCCGGTACGAATTCATGTCATGTTTTATAAATAATATTTATTATATCTTTGAATATCCTTGACACTCGTATATTAATGAGCGTTGTTTCAAACTAAAATTAAAAACGAATTAAATCCAGAAATAAGTATAAATATAGTAACAAGTATGTTCATATTTATTTAACAGTTCTAGACAGTTATTAAATAATTCTAATACTTTCCATTTCTTTTACTCTCTCAATAAGTTTCACAGATAACAAAGTAGTTTTTTTCTATACATACGATTTTTATTTAGTTTAATTAATACTATGTTTGTTTTTATCAGGTGAAGTCAGTATCTCGTCATAGTATGGAGGGCGGGTCGGGTAGTGACGGGGAGAGCAGCGGCGGCCGGGAGGTGCGACATATTAACACTAGGAGACAGAGGTACTTATAATAATATTCTTAATCTACATGTTGTGAATAGTTTTTCTTTTTTGGCTAATTGCTTTTTTTTTACGCCCGGCCGCCTGCCTGACATCAACCCTCTTTTTTGGAAATCAGCATTATTAATCATAATAATATTATATACGTGAATTAATATATGTACAGTAATAAACCGCTTTACGCGAGGGATACGTACGGAAAAGAATGACTGAAATTCGCTTATATCGAGAATTATGATTAAACATAGTCAAGATTTAATACAAAAAAAAATACAAATCATTTTAATCAATCACTTTAACTCTTAGAACACTTTATGCAATACATACTCATATTTTTTTGGATAACGTTTTCTTTACATTCTTGTAAAATACGTTCATTACACCGAACACGGTTTTTAATTGTTTGACACACAGTCAAGACGCAGTCGTCATTGTTATCTATACTCTGCAATTTGTCCAAACCTAAATAAATTTTTGAAATTCGGGTTATAATAAAACCGTGTGTAACGGATTCGCTCTAAGTGGGGTATATTGTAAACGATAACTGAAGAAATTTTAATGAAAATATAATTGTAGACGTATTTTGGACGTATGAATAACTTAAAGGTTAACTTGTATGTATTAAGTCGTATGACAAAAGATAGATGTCGCTACTAGTTGATTCTCATATTTTTTATTAAACAAGTTTTGTTTATTTCTCCTAAAATGTAATTACTATATCGATTAGGACGAAGGTATAAGTAATACATAATATATTTAACGAACGAACATTTTAACGAACTAACACAAAATATATTTACAAAGATTATAATTATAATATTCACGCCATCTAGCGTTGAGGATTCATTATGAAGAAAGTAGCTTTGAAATAGTTAATGAAATAGCATATACTATTAAATAAATATTATTTAATATATATATTTAATGAAGATTCTTTATTGTTTTTTTAATCAAGAACTAAATATATGTATATATAGTTGTTATCTCAAAAGTTTTTAGTTGTTATATCAAAAGTTTTGATCATGTTCGTATCAGGTATATATGAATTCATATAAAGTCATTGTTCAACTCCATATAATGTTGTTGCTAGAGAATAACTTTATTCCCCAATGAAATACTTGTAGCATTAATACGGTGTATGATGCGATATTTTCTGTTATATTTTTCTATGATTACTTTCTCAGGAATTTATTATTTTCTATTTTTAACTAATTCACATTTTATTATGATTGCTATTTTTTTTATTCACATCTTATATACTACTATTGTTAATATTCTATTAATTCACTTTAACCGTAATAAAACCTTGAAATAGAGATAATTTTTCTTTCGACCTTCGTAATAGATTTCTTTAAATGATAATTAATTTGACATTATATATACCTATAATGTTTATATTAATATATTGAATTTATCATCAATCATTGTGGTACATATATTTTAAATTTATTTGTATCAAATTAAACTCAGTGGCGCGTTGTATTAAAGTTTTCACTTGTTTATTGAGATTCGGTTTTGTTTATTTGGTTGTCGACCCTAATGAAGCAAGTAATGAAAGGGTTATTTACTCAGCGACATCAAAGTGAAAGCGTTGAGAATTTGTATTTGCGGTTTCTCTAATATTGTCCTTAAATGCGGTTAGATATTTTTATATACACTAAGATTTATACATTTCGTTTCTAATATTATTTGTTCTAATATCATGGAACGTGGCTTATAAACTCAAGTCGGCTATTGTTTAGACCGGTGTGTATTGTTATTTATAGCAATCTTGTAAGCAACTTTAGACATTGTAAACATACTGTATATGTAACTCAATCCTTTATAAGCTCAGATCATATTATCGGAGTAGAATTTAATACTTAAGCTACACATTAAAAATTAAACAAAGATTTAGTACACTTATATACTTAATTAAGTGATATATATTTAAGTATACATAATTTAAGTTGTTGCATATATTTATATGATTTATGTGACCGGTATGATGGAATCGAGTTGGTATTGCGGGGGTCTAGACCTTGGAGTATATTGTATTATAATGAAAGTAATACGAAAATTTGGGTTACTGAATAAATTATCAATTACTTACATATTATTGTAATTTTAAATAGACCTAAATAAGTTTTAAGACTCGTTTCATTGGTATATATTTTATAATGACAAGATATCAAGTAAGAATACTTAATGAAAAAAGGTTTTATATTGTTTTAGCTTATCAAAGGCTTAGGCTGAGATCAAAGTTATATTTTTTTTTTCTTAAAAACATACTTTATTAAATAGGAGTTAAATCTTAAAATACTATTTTATTCAAAAGATATGATCTCAAAACGACGTTAGAAAAGATGTTTATTTATTAATTAAACACTTATTTTAATTATAAAAAAATCACACAACGTTGTAAATTTTACATTATATTACAGAATAATATTATAAATACTTATAATTGAGATGAATTTGTTTCAGTAGAAAATGTGTGTGTGTGAGTCTGTGAAAACCGTTACAAATCGATTACATGAATTATATGAACATTCGTATTCAATATGTTATCTTTCTCATGTGCTATATGTGTCGTAGAAATCGACAGTTTTACTTCACTCGTCTACATAACAAAGTGATATAGGCTTGAATATAATTTTAATACATTGTAATTTTATTTAAACTAATAATGTTTTAGAATGTACTTGAAGTACTCCGTTTGTAGTGTGATAAAAAAACTTATAGTAAACGTAGTGATTGAATAATAACTAACTTAGATTTTGTTGATATTAATGTTTTATGTAGATGCAAAAATAACGCAGATTTTATTATATAACAAAAGTATAGAGATAGATTTAAGATGTACATATTATACTTATAAGCAAGTAATGTTGTTAAAATTAATATTTTAGTAAACATTATGTCATTCGTAAAACGCTCAAAGTACATCATCAACATTAAATTAGAAATTCCAATTAAATACGACACGGCTCAGAAGATACAAGAGGGGCCTTACACTGGGAAATTTTGCAAGTTAATAAGTGTTCAGCTTTGGGTCAAGTACGAGGTAACAAAAAATATGTATAATTTATGACGATTATATAAATATATGAGTGTTCATCATTTATTGGTAATTTAAAGTAATAGTAAATAAACAAATTATGAATATATAACTATGAGTAGATAAATATATATAACTAACAAGGTTTAAAAATATTAAGTTTCGTTTTTAGTGAGCTAATAGTATTGAATGAAACAATGTCGAGGTTTTTTCGTTTTAAAAGATCGTCGTAAATTTTAACTATGAAATTCATTTTGAATAATCCTAAACAAATATATGTACTTACACTGATACAAGTTAAGTCAAAAAAGTTGTCAGCCACCGTAATATATTTATGTGCTTACAGTAAAATTGAATTATATATTTATAACCCATTGAATTAAATGGATCAATAATAAAAGTAATGTCCACATTATTCTATTGTTATCTTAGTGGAATGCTATCTGTGTTGTATAAAATAAATGAACACCATATATTTATTTTATCATCTAGATTAATCGCCTAAACTATCTTCTATATCTCGTTCAGGTTATTGCAACGAGCCATTAGTTCGGCCTTTAACGAGGGATATTTGGGATTCCTACCTGAACGTTCTAACAAGACAAAGGCTTTACAAATGTTGCAATGAAAATTTCGTTCCACACTAAAAACATGTTCATAATTTTCATAGCTAGTCGTCGTCATATTATAAAACAGTTATAGTTTTTTCAATTCCGCTATGTCCCAACTATATTAGCAATAGTCAAAACCTACATATTTGAGTCACACGCGAACAATATCGTAATTACATTACACAATACAAAACATCGAGTGGCCCACAAACCCAGCTTTCGTTGAATGTAATCGCGGCCGCTATCGTCTCGTTTTTGATATCACTGCATCATAAATGATGATAACGCTAATTGTAAAATGCTTTCTCATATCATGCACGAAAAGCTAAATTAATAGTTTATATTTATTCAGGACAAAGTTACTTTATATAATTATTTTTGTATATAAGTTTCATATATAGCGATTGAAAGAGTGTTGAAGATACTATAATAATTTTAAGTCGTATAAAGTAATTACAATGTATATTAAATTAATTCTTCATTCAATGTAAAGTAATATGATCCGATGTAAACACAATGTTGAGGTCAAAAGTTGCAGTGCGGTTAACAAGCTAAGAGGTTATTGTCATTAACGCTGTTAGTGATATTTAGATTAACAGCCGTCTGATTCGACCGGATTTGTCATATAGTTATATGACTTTTTCACTACGTGTCATATATCAAGAAATTGCTCTCTTAAGATGAATAATTCTGTTATATTGACCGCAATTACATCGTTGTTTTTTTTATATAAGCGACTTTGAATGAAAGTGTGTATGCTTGTTACTTGAACAAGGAAAAGCTGTTATGGTGATTTGTTTTTTTTTTTCTATTAACATAGCTTAACATATAGACTACCTTTTAAACTGAAAGTCTTAAAATTAAGGAATTTTATAGTATAAAAAAAAGTATTAATAAAATTGCAATAATTTTTCTTCTTCTATATTGTAAATAATCCTTCGCCTATGATATTGTCTCGTTTTTTTAACATCAAGACGTTTTTCTATACACATTTCCGATCTTATAATTGAATCCAATATTTCCGACATGTCCATATTCGTACAGGAAGCAATTATATTAACTTATATAAGACTAGACTGAGATGCAAGTCAAATGCATCTATTTCCGTATTCACCACCTTGAGAGTAACTCTACGTATCAGTTATTTTATATCTAAGTTATAGAAATGTACTAAGTTGATTGAACCATTGATATTCTATTGAAAAATTTGCCATTTTTTCCAACCATCCGACAATACTAAGCTTTGTTTTATTTCTGACATACATAGTTATTTCAGACGGCTTGGATTGCAAACGATGTTTTTTGTTTTCTTATATTTTTCTACGTTCATATATATAAGTATATATATAC